TCACACGAATGAGTCTCTTTAAAACACGGACAAAATTTTCAAGCTGATATCTGTGTCCCAGATCTTGGTATGACAAGTTGACATCCTGTAAGCGAAACAAAACTTATAATAATTTGAATGTGATTCAGACCAAAATGAATTAGGGGGTATTATAGAAATTTCCAAAATGTGAACACATTCTTCACTTCAGGTATGCCATAGATGAGGTACAATTAATTTCAAAATGAACGCCATTAGCAATAATGGACATTCTTATTTCGGCAATGAAACCCATTTTAGATATATTCAGACAGTAAATATTGCCAATTATAAGACAAGAAGAAAAAAAACTGATATAAATACTGGTCACATTTGGCACACATAACACATGCAAAATACATTATTTTTAGGCGAGTAACACGTATCTATAAATGTAAGGAACTCACCGTACAGTTTTCCCAGTTTTCAGTTTTATTTCGGTGATCTAATTTATCCTTTCCAACTTTGGAATGATGCAGTTTATTACCGTCTTCATCTGTCACTCTGTACAAGTTGTGTTCTTTTTTCTCTGGTGCTTTCCTAACCCGTGGACAGTTCAGTTCGTTTCCCTTCACGTCAGTTTCTCTCAAATCATGCCATACCGAATGGCGTAATTTATGGGACGGTAACTGTGAAAGCAAACATGTGTACAGACAAATTCAAATTGTATTTTATACTAGTACATGTAATTTATGTATTTTATAATTCATAATTCATCAAGCTTCTATCGTACGACTACATAATGCTATATTATAATCTCCAAATAGTACATCAGACAGAACATGTTATTAATGCTATTATGCACCATGATCAATTCCAATAAGATCCCAACTTACCTGAGTGGAGTCCAGTCTGTTTGGTGGTGGTAGTCTTGGCTTCTTCTTTGTGGAAAATGAAGGCACATACACACTAGATCCATTGTCAGTCAGCGATACAGCAGTAGTACTAATAATATTAAAATAGACAAATCCAATTTCATATTGTTAAAAATGCAATAACATTTTTTTTAACTACTATATACTTGTTTGTTTTTTTTATCGAAGGAGAAAGCACCGGATTTTTAATCATATGGCGGTCGATAC